GGGAACAATGCAATATGTTAAAGTCAGGAAGTCCACTCTTCCTTTATGTGAATATTAAGCAATCTCTTGCAGTCATGTCATTGGGCTATTGGTGCTAATGCTGCTTTTGGGAAAGGCTGGACCATTGTCATAAGATTCTGTGCTGTTCAGCCTCCCTTTCTGAGAACTGTTGCAAATAGTACGCAGAAGGACGACAGCGGTCAGCATTTTATATTTTCACATTTAAAGCTGTGCAAAAGAAAGTAAGCGCTGGGCATATGACTAGTCACCCATATGGTTTGTGGCCTTCCTGCAGCTGATCTTTTCTTTATTACAATGCCTTGTTCCACACCGTGTCTCTTTGTGGAGGCAGCCATTTTGTTAGAGGAGAAGACTCTGCTTCCTCATGCCAGAGCTGCACTCCTGATGACCGGTGATGTGATAATTGGTGGGTTTCACAAAGCACATATCCACAGAATAAAGGTAGCAAAAGCAGGGAGATGTATGCAGTGCAGAGTCCTTTCCAGCGGGCAGCACTGTAATAATCAGTCACCAAATCTCAATCCAGTTTTGTGAGACTAGCAGTCACAGTAGCAGTACCTTTCACAAAGCGGATATACAGGTGTGAGGCTGAAAGCAAAAGAGTAGGACACTTTCTGATTTCAGGTCCACTTTAAAGGTGGACGAACACCAATAGAACGGTGTTTGTAAAAAAAAAAAGAAAAAAAATTCAGACATTTTTGTTCAGTTTTCTAATGGTTACTGGGGTCTTATAAACATTCTGGAAGAACCAGAATGGAACATTTTTCTAATTTCTAATCTGAATGAAAACAATTCTAACGATAAATGTGATTTTCGTTCAGGAAAAATTGTACATATTATAATGCATATGTGCAAGGCATAAAAGAAACCTGTTTTATATGTCTGGCATTTCATGAAAGTAGTGGGTCTGGATGAAAATTTTAAAGAGCTTTCCAATTAAATTAGTTGAATCAATAATAGCAATATCGAATGTTCTGATAAATGATTTTCAACCAAACTTTTGGATGAAATTCCAACAGTGCATGACCAGCTTAACACTACTCAGAATTATGGTTACTTTTGCTGTTTCTTCTTAAAGCGGACCTTTACCCTTTAAAATAACAACAAACACAGCTTTAGAAATGTTTAGTAATGACAATCTACAAACACATACTTTTAGATAACTGCAGGCTTTGTATTCTTTACATACCTTTTTTCTATTTTCTTCCCCAGTCTTCTGACAGTGGCCATGTTTACTAAGGGCAGATAACTAGCTCTCCTTTTGCTTCCTTGATTTCTGGCACATGTAACAATGCACATCATCTCAGGGGAGGAAATGCCTTTCCCTGAGATCTCGTAGGATTACAGATGAGATTTCCCAGCAATGCTCTGCTGATGACAAGGTAATCACAGTGTGCATTACTTTGGCAAACTAAAGTCATTTTGCCGTTTCAAAGCAGGAAGTGAATGTTCTGCAAGTGTAAGTATTTTAAAATCACAGCATTTTACACCTGACATGTCTATGTTATTATTAATCATTATACATAGAGGGATGCACTGGTAGAATTTGATTTTTCAGTATAAAGGTCCGCTTTAAGTACTCATTCGCACGCCACGTGTACAGAACTCTTGAAATTGTTGGCACTGCAAACAATTTTAACTATAATAAGCAAATGGCTATATTCAGCTGGAAGATAAAACAGTTCTATTACAGCTTCCAAAATGCATACCATGAAGGAAAACTTTGAAAGAGGGACTTACTAATTACAAGCACCGTGAAAATAAATCTTTTCCCAACTGTGTTGTTGTCTCAATGACCCATGAAATTGTATATTACACATGTTAAAACATTCTGGTATTAGGTTGTAAAAAATCTCTTGCTGTTCCAATGACCCTGTGAGATTAGTAGCAACACACTGTACAGCCGTGCCTTAAAACCAAAAGGTGATGCCCTTTATGTTCAGGATTTGCTCTACCTATATGCTCTTGTGTTGATGGACATACTAGATTGGGTCATGGCTAGTGTATGTATGGCTCATTTTATGACTATAACATTGCTTTAATTTTCATATATTTTATTGAATTTCTTAACGGGCATTATAACTGTTCGCAATGTGACCTAGTCATTATGTATTTAAGTAATAATACACTAGTATGATGAGTGTATATAATGGAAAATACAAAGAGCAGTGGTATCGAGTAGCCCTTAGCATCTATTTAAGAAGTTGTTGAAACTAAGCCTATAGAGACTAATGAAGATGTCAGTAGCTAGGGAGTTCCGAACCTCAATATTATATTCACTTGCTGACCGGGGTGTTTATACCCCCTTCCTGTCCAGGCCATTTTTCAGTATTCAGCGCTGTGGTACTTTGACATTTATTCCGTCATGCAACGCTGTACTGAAATACATTTTATATCATTTTTCTGGGACAGATAGAGCTTTCTTTTGGTGGTATTAAATCACCACTACGGGTTTTTTTTTTACTATATAATGAAAAAAGTCCCGAAAATTTTGAAAAAAAAACCTGTTCTCCCTACGTTATGTTAGAAAACATTTATTATTAACCAATTTTTTGGTAAAATATAAAAGACGGGGTCACGTCAGGTAAATAGACACCAAACATGTCAAGCTTTAAAATTGCGCGCACCTGCTAAATCGCAAAAAGCTACCATACCCAAAGCTTTGAAAGCTTTTACCGCTCATCAGTTTAGTGTTATTGGTGATTAATGGCTCTAGAATTATTGCTCTCACTCCGACGTTTACAGCGATATTTAACATGTGCGGCGCAATGAATGTGATCGTCGTTTTCGCACGTAGACGGACTCAACACATGTTTGCGTGTGCATGTGGGGGCGGGGGACTTTAATTTTTTTTATTATTATTGCTTTGATATGTGACTTTAAATTGCTTAATTTTTTTGGACTTTTTTTTCACTTAACTTTATTGCTATCACTAAGGGAGCAAACAAGCTCCCTATGTGATAGCCAATTTGCAGTGACAGGTCCTCTTTATGGAGACATCAGGGGTCTTTAAGCCCCCTAATGTCACCTAGGGACCCCCAGAGAAGCTCATGAAGCAGAGACCTGCTTCACCAGCTTCTCTCTGGTTTCTGTAAACCGGAGAGTGACACTGAATGCAGGCAGTGATGTAATACACATCACTGCCTGCATTCCGAAGAGGGGGAGGAGATCAAACGGAGCTCGTGTACTGAGCTCTGTTTGATCTCCAGCCACAGAGCTGCTGTGCTGGTCCCGGGCTCAGACCGGAAGCAGCGGAGCCCGGGATCGCCAGCACCGGCTGCGGCGGAGGGGGGCGCACATCCGCACGCAATTACAAGCGATCGGGCATCTCTACAGACGCCTGAACGCTTGTATGTAAACAGCCATCGCTGGCTTTTTACATAGAAAGCTGATTTCCCATGAGCAGGATGGGATGGCCGGACAGCAGGTGGTTAAAGCTGAACAGCGGGCAGTGGTGAAAACACCTATTAAGGCGGTTATGAAAACAATCCATAAATGTATTTTAAAGAAAAACTTCCGGCATATCAAATCTTAACCCTGAGCAGTGGGGCTACCCCCGCACTGCAAGGGTTAAGTGCGCGTTTTGCCTAAGGAGCTAAAATAACAAAGATATACTCACCCAAGCCACAATCCTGTCTGGCTTCTAGACAAGTCCCTTCAGCCTCTCTGGCAGTGTAAGGTCCAGTGAGCCATCACGTCCAATACAGTGTATAGGACGTGAGGATGCCAAGAGACATTTCATCTCTAGAGCGGAGGAGGAGTAGGAGCCAACCAGACTCTGTAGCAGTGCAATGGGGCTGGTAAACATGCAAATAGGACAAGAGTATACAGAGGCAAAACCTCATCCTTGTGCTGCTTCTCTTTCATTGTCCAATCAGCAATCGATGGGTGTATCTGGGTTTTCATTGGATATTGCTGGCTTTTTTGTCTTACAGTGGTTACAGAATGGCAAGACTAGACTAGTGCGCAGAAATGCAATTGCTTTAGCTAGCAAAAGAATACCAGTACATTTCAGCTGTAAGTTTTGCAGTTTGCTTGATGTTCACATAACAGAGGACATTATATTTTGGTTTATTCGTTATAGGTGTCATCATTGTGTTGTAGGGATACCTACAATAGAGATCTGTGATCAACATGTCCTAATAAAAAATCTATCTGCCTAAAGACTGCTAGGCAGTAAAAATAAAACTAGGGAGAAGTCCTGATGCCACAGAATTTTAGAGTCTGACTTTTTGGTAAACTATTTTGATTTGTAATGGGAGATTGACTCCCATATTTGATGTAAAGTGACAGAGAGGCAGCAGGCTTTTATATGCTTGAGTAATTCTTGTTTGGAAACCTGCTGCTAATTCTTTTTAATTAGGAGAGGACCTCCCTCAGTCATGTGTAACTAAGGAAACAGAAGAGGGAAAAGGTATTTTTTATACTTTTACTTGTGCGCTTTGTAATGATAAAAACAAAGAAACAGGGTGGCTTGTCACAGAAAGCCAGTTAATGAGGTTAAGGTTAATGGCAGCTACATCTGATCTTTTCATTCCTTGTGCTCCAGTCAAAGAAAAGAAGCCATTTTGAAACATGATGCTGAGGTCATAGTTCAGAGGTCAGCGCCTTCCTGGTGAAGCTAATAAACCAGGTGTAACTAGAGGTGCTAGTTAAAAACAGTTGTCTCCAGGAAACAAGGGAAGCAGCCTGCTAGATCAAAGAATTGCAGCACTCCTTGTCTCATAACTCATTCATACAGATTACAGAATATGCTGATATTCCGGAGAACATCAAACAGACATACGAGAATAATACAATTGCTTTCACTTAGTGATATGACAGCAATTCTGAGTTTTAATGGTGGTCACTGTTTTAAATTTCTTAAGATATTGTTTAACAGCGCAGACCATTATCTGTATGAGGCCCCTTTCACACAGCTATTCCGATCAGGCCTGTCAGATTTTCAAGTAGATTATTATTATTATTATTATTATTATAATAATACAAGATGTATATAGCGCCAACAGTTTGCGCAGCGCTTTACAATATAAGGAAGCCATTACAGTCACAATACAATTCAAGACAAGATGGTAAGGAGGGCCCTGCCCGTGAGGGCTTACAATCTAAAAGGGAGGGGCAAGTGATACATGAGGAGGTAGCTGTGCGGGACTGATTGTTTGAGAAAGTGATTGTTCAGTGGTTAGTTTGAGGTGGGATAGGCTTCCCTGAAAAGATGAGTCTTAAGGGATCGCCTAAAGGCAGTCAGTGTGGGAGATAGACGGACAGGTTGGGGTAGAGAGTTCCAAAGGATGTGAGAGACTCTAGTGAAGTCCTGGAGGCGAGCATGGGATGAGTTGATGAGGGAGCTGGAAAGCAGGAGGTCTTGTGAAGAGCAGAGGGGAAGGTTAGGCCTTGTTCGCACCAAGCGCGTTCCAGGAGCAGAGCAGTTACAGACCGGATGAAAACTGCGTCCAATGTATTCCAATTGTATTTTGGGCTCTAGTTCACACCGCAGCGTTCAGTTCCGGAGCATGTAAAAATATTGCAGTAAGCCCTATTTTACCTGCTCTGGAACACATGCAAACGCATCAAAACACATGCAAACGCCCTGGAACACACTGAAAGCCCATTTTAACGAAAAATGGCCCGGAACGCATCAAAAACGTGGCAAAAACGCGGCACAACCCACTGCACTGCTTGTGCAAAAACTCATGCAGATCTGGTCTGCATTTGGTGTGAACAAGCCCTTGGGGTGATACTTTGAAACCAGGTATATCTGGGGGCAGAGTTGTGGATGGCTTTGTAAGTGGTTATTTTGAATTTTATCCTTTGGGCTATTGGAAGCCAGTGCAGGGATTGACAGAGGGGGGTTGCAGACACTGAGCGGTTGGTTAGGTGATGGTAAGGAGGGCCATGTCCTTGAGAGCTTACAATCTAAAAGATCTGATTGGAAGCATAATGTTAGTCTATGGGCCAGCAGATGGAGATAAACATGCATCTGTTTACATCTGATTACCTCTGAGTCTGTCTAGCCCCTCGCCCCCAAAACAGAAAAGAGTTCTGTTGTTGCAGACCTAAACATGATAGATTGGAGATAATCTGATGACACATGTGCGCTTACATCCGGCTGCTCATAGACCTAACATGGGTCTGTACAGCTCAATTTTTTCCTTAATTGCAAGATGGAGGAAAAAACTGAACGGGCATGGATGTTGCAAAAAAATCAGTTTCATGGATTTGCAAGCAGCACCCACATAACAACAAATGTAAACATTGATAACAAAAACACATAAGACACCAAACTGGAGTTATAATGGCCACGACACTGGATTAAAACACAAGATTCACTTTGTTAAGCAAACTGATCACCAACATTGAATATAAATGAACCAATTGCTCAGCCATTAAGGCTCAAGCAAAAATACTGCGAACCATGTAAATCAAAATTAGCCTCCCCCCCCTCTTAAAACCGTATAAATGGAAAACGGCGAGGATAGAAGCTTTAGTTCTTTGTTATCCTGAGAGTCGAGTGTCCCTACACCATGTCTGTCCACTCAAGTTGGATAGAACTGAAACATACAGCGGCAAGCCAGTCCCCTGCTCCTCCCTTAATTAATAGCAGCGTGCGACTGCACTGTCCAGGACACTAGTACGCTGTGACATTCTCCATGCACACACTTCCCTACCTGGGAGTTCAGGGGAATGGCGGTGTCTGTGACCAGTGCAAATATTAACTGTTATAGTAATATAATAATTAAAAATTATATTGTGGAAAGTAGGGATGTTCAGATACCAGTTCAGATACCAGTGCCGATACTTGCCATTTTCAGAACTACCAGGTTGCAGCGGTTGCAGCTGGGACCTAGCTCTGGCGCTCCACCACTGTCCTAAAATCATTAGTCTGTACTGTTTAAAAAAACTTTCACATGACACAAAAAAAAATATATCAGTACTTGTATCTGTAAGGACTTGGCCAAGTATCAGTACTTGAAAAAATGGTATTGGTGCATCACTTATATATATATACATTAAAACAGGGATGCACAAATCCCAGGAGCTCCGTGTGCTCCTTACAAATGACAGCTGCCTCCTAACTTTTGAATTTTTCTCCACTCTAGTCTTGGAGCTGGAAAAGTATCTGTATGGTACTTGGTATCTGAACATCCCTAGTGGAAAGTTTTCCTTCTTAACCAGAGTGCATTGTACAAAAAGCAGTGTTGAATATTACTTTAATGTATGACGTGAGTAAATGTATTTTGCTAAAGTAAATATTCCACTCCCTTAATGGTACCTATAGAAATGAGGCAATTGTTTTCTCACACACCCTGAGATACCTATGTGCACATTCATCAAGAGAGCATAAAGAATATGTGAATTAGTGCCATGCATTATCCCTGAAGTGACTAGGTTAACAACCTGGACAACAAAACCGTACAATGCAACCCATAGCTCTCTCCTGTGAGGGCCATGCTCCAAGGTTATCTCACAAGGTCACTGGGACCCAGAACCCAGTTGTTGCCTAAAACTGCAGGATCTCACAATAGGTGACTAGTTCATATAGATTTACCAGACATGGAATGTTTGTTGCCATATTTACCTTTGTTTATAGCGTAGCACATGCCATTGATCTGTGACATTGTCCAGCTGCAATGAAGTGTACTATAGCAGTTTCCACAGAGACTATATCATTAAACTGAGTGCTGTCAAACAGTCATATAGATATATTTTTATTTTTTATTGTAATGCTACCACTGCCAGCACAAACTGCAGAAGAAGACAAACACGCTCCAGCAGTGGTCTCTCTGCAACGGTCTAGAACAGATTGGGTTATTGTAAATAACAAAGCCTAGTATGCTAATGAGGTCATTCCCAATATGTTTGTGTTATTTAAGCACTAGCATTGAATTGTATGAAGTTTACAATCTAATGTTGTCACAAAGTCCCCACACAAGCACTTCTGTGCTGCCTCCAGCAATTATATGGACAATCGCATTAGTGTTTATCATCTGTGTATTGTCATATGTAATTGTTCTTTGTTATCCACCCTGTGGTCGCTGTTCATATTATCCTTTTCCATGATGCAATCTCCTGCTTCCTCTTTATGGGTTCCTGCTATCCTTCCTGCAACACATGCTGAGGTGAGGAGAGAAATAATATTTTTGACAGCTACAAATATGAACATTCACTGCATCATGTTGTTTGCCTGATCCCATCTGCATGCAATAAAGATATTTGTGGATGCAAATTAAGTAAGATCTCTGTTATCCGGTATTCAGCTAACCGGAACTCCCATCTAACAGGTGAAAAAAATATCCAGGGTTATTCACAAAGCTGCCGAAGGCAGTCGCATGAATAACCGACCCGAAGTGAGCTGAACGATGGGGACGCTGATCTGTCATTGCAAGTGGCCGGAGCCAGCCGTGAGATGATGGCTGGCTCCGCCCAGCTGTCAGTAGCAGGCTTTTCGTCTCAGTCGACTATAGCCCGTACAGCTCCCGTAGTTGGCCGAGCGGCTTGGTCGAGCCGAAGGCATATACTTCAGCTCGACTGAGCCGAGGTGAAAGCCAAAGCGGGCCAAACGGCCAGCCAAAAGCCTGCTACTGACAGCTGGGCGGAGCCAGCCGTCATCTCACGACTGGCTCCGCCCAGCTGTCTCGAAGCATATGCCTTTGGCTCGACCAACTTCGGGAGCTGTACGGGCTATAGTGAATAGCCCGTACAGCATCCCTTCGGTTCTACTGAAACTAAGGGCTCTGGCGGCCGAAGCTAGCCGAAGAATCAGCCGGAGCTATAACTGATCCTTCGGCTAGCTTTGTGAATAACCCCCACCCTGTGTACGCACTGTTTTGCAATCTGCCAACTTCTAGGAGAGGGAGAGCGGGCTCTGGAGCATGTAAAGGTACAGGAAAGGGACAAAAAGTGATAGATTATCCTGGTTCAACTATCTAATGAAGATTTGTCTGCAGTGATTGTATCTGCTATGTACAGGCTAGGCACAGAGGTCTCAGAAAGGGGAAATTACTATTACAGTTGCAGACAGAATAACTTTTATTATTTTATTCAGGGTGGAAACTATAAACAAATTAGAATAATGATTTTGTAGTTACACCTGTCCAAGATCTAGACTTTACATGAATTTAAGCTGTTTATGTTTTACAATGATCATAATATTAATGGCACCTAGCAGGGCCTTCATTTACCAGCATTGGTAACAGTAACAGAAAAAAAAGAACATTCATAGCTAGTTATTTTTCATACTAGTGAATTTATGACAGACTGAAATGGCAAACAGGTGGAGATGCATCTATATTTGCATGCATTATGCAAAGTATATCTCTTAAAATACATATAGTCACACGTCTTGAAATTTGTATAAGATAAATAAATGCACTGCTAGGTGACCATTGCACATCACTGAAAGATGTAGACCTAGGGTAACAGCACCATCTATAGGGAAAGTGTGGTACATGTTTCTTGATTTTGCAGGTCATGATCAAGAGGGAGCTGGTTAGCCGTAAAACTAAAACAGCAAAGCAAAATATTCGCTGAATGTTTGTAAATGTTTACAATTCTGCTATAGACACCGCTTTGGTTTTTGATTTTAGGGGCACTAAGTGTATATGGGTAATGCATACCAGCTACCTACTTTTAACTGTACGTGTATGAGCCTAAAATTTACACCTTATGTAAATCACCCCATGCTTGACAAAACGTCCCTTATCGGAACCCAAAAGCCTAGTGCCATAAAGCTTGACATTCTACATTTTAAGCATTACTGCTTATAAAAAATATCTGTAGCCAGACCCAGATTTATTGAAAGCCCACCTAGAAATTGCCCTGGAGCAAAAACATTTCAATGAGACAGCAACACTTTATTTTCTCTGTGTCATCACATTTGTTTCCTATGTGGGTTTGCAAGCATAGCACAATTATGAACGGTCCTTTCAAAACTTGTATTAAACACTGTTATACGAGTGGCTGGGAACTGTGCAGATGCAATGATCTGTACAGGGGTACATAATAAAAACCCTCTCTGTCCACCATCGTATTGGAATGAGTCTCCAAGCAGTGTCTCTTTTTAAAAATATATTTAAAATTATAATTTTATTATACAGGATTTATATAGCACTAACAGTTTGCGCAGTGCTTTACAAAATTTCCATTGAACTTTTTTTCCATTTAATCCTGACTCACTCAAAACTCACAAATCCGATGAGGGCATAAGCAAACTTTTGTGGTCACAATCTGGATGCACAAAATA